ATAATTCTGTACTTTCTGGAATGGTGATAAAGTAGTTTGAAAACATGCTTCAGGCTTGCAAGAGTCCTCAAACACAAAAATACAGCAGCATTTAAAGTTATTAGGTTGAATTTATCTGACTTAGGCAAAACACTTGCTTTTCCCCTTAGAAATAAATTTAATATCATTTCACTCTGTCATTAACCAGGATTATTTGATTCTGAGGAAGAATTTATACAGTCAATACCACTGAAGCACATAAACAAGCTGAGCACTTTTCTAAAATGAAACTCTAGGACGTCAATGCAAATCAACGGTAAAAAGGTATTTCAGAATGCAGTTAGAACTGGAATACCTTAGTTATACAGTATCTTAATGAGTAGAAGAAATATTGATTGTTTTGCAGTCCACTTTTGAAAACAAAAACAGACTTTCACTTCGCTTTCTCCCCACCGATTAAAAAACCCTGATATTTTTTAGTATTAAAAATCCCAACGTTTAAACTGTTATTTTTGATAAACAGACTATGAACACAGCAAAACATGAAGGAAGGCTTTCATGTATCTTGTAGATTATCAAGTTTTTTGGCAGCTGAAGTTCTTTAAATACTCTCATTAATTTGGAATTTGTATTCTTGAGGTAGAGGGGCTAATTCAGAGTTATTGAAAGAAAGTTGTCCATCTTACAGCATTTTCCTATAGATGTATTGTGAACGTTCTTTATGTTCCATTCTCTTGACAGGACATTAGTGATTCATGTGAATTCCAAATCACTTCAGTAAAACGCAGTCTCACAAGGAAGAACCTGCAATCTCACAGATCACAGCCTTAAAAAGGATCCAAAACCAGTCAGCAACTGCATCTTCTGTAAGTGAAACCAGTCCATCTTATAAAATCATCTCCTGGGGAGAAGACAGCCAACAGTAACATTAAATGCACGTAACAACAAAACCAGGTAAAACTATGTCTAAGGCAATACTTTTGGGAAAAGCTTTAAAAAAGTACTTTGACTTTTTTTATCATGTTTCTATCAGATAAATTTACTAGTTTTTAGAAGTCTGTTTTACTCAAGTTTCTGAGCACCACTGTACATTTGCAAAGCATATTTATCATCCAGGGAAAGTCTTTATCCAGGGAAAGACCACCATTATTTTCAAAGGAAAAGGGAAAAATACAGCAAAGGCTTCAAAGATGTGAGTGAATTATTTCATTCACAAGTGCAGCATGTGCTCTTTCTTCTGTAATGACACAGTACAGAAAACAACATGTAATTAATGCAATTCCTTTGCCAAATGAGTGGGATCTTATAAAGAATTGGCACATAATTCTAATTTGAGCTTTCTTGTTTTAAACAAAACCAAACCTAATTCAGAACAATATAATGTACTAACAGGGTCCTTCAACAGATTTTTCTTTTTTCCTCCAGTATAAATGACTGCAGAGTTCTGGGCCTGTAGTCAAAAGGATACTCAGTGTCCAAACCAGCGTTACTGGTGCAGCCAGGCATTTCTGTGTACTGTGCTACTCCTGTGTAAGAGAATCAAAGAAGAACATTTGGCCTTTTGTTATCTTATGTACCAAGATAGAAGAGCATGCTTCTTCCTCTCCTCCACCCAGTGAACAGATGTGGCTTTAATCACATACAAAACAAAGTGCTCACAGGTTTCAGACTATGACTTTAAAATTTAGGAGTAAAATTACTTTTCAAAGACAGTGATTTTCACCTAATTATCTTGAAACTGTCCATAAAAGGCAGATAGGTAGGAAACTGGATAAATACACCAAGTAGGGTTTGGTTGAGGGTTATTTTTTTCAGTTGGAGAGAAAATGAAGATAATTTTGGTAAACAAAGAACTTGTAGCAAGACAAATTTTAAAAGAAGCCTCGAGGTCCAACACAGAAAAGTTATAGGAGATTCATCAATAAATTAGATTTTACAGAGCGGTGTAAATGCAGAGGCTGCCTATTCCTTACTGAACTCAAAGCTGCAGATTAACTCAATAAACATTAGCAAACAGTATAATTAGTTAAAAGAGAGGCAGAAAATGCCACACAAAAGCCCAAATGCTACTCTTGGGGAAAGGGCACCTAGAGCTTCTATAACTTTAAGTCAGCCACTAACCTAGATCTCCTGGTATCCAGCTCTCCTGCCACCACCCCAGCTAAAATCACCTCATAAATACCTAAGTCAGATTACCCTTCTTTCTGAGCAGCATTAGAGCTCTCTGACAAACTGTGTGTGAAACGCAGTTCCAGGGAACGTGGATCGTGGGCAACTCTTCAAGACCTATTTCGAAAGGATGTGGTGCTGAGGTGGCTGGAATTTGCATAGAGAAAGAACAGGTACGTTCCTACTGTATGATCTGGGCCTCGGTTGGCAGGAATTATCTCTGTGTACATGGCCTGGATGGGGATAACGTGCACAGAGTACAAAGGGATCTCTTTTCCACATCTGGGTGTTGCACCAGGAGCAGAGGGTGGAGGGACGGAGGTGAAACCTGTGATTCTGATGTGAAAGTGAGATGCACAACGCTGGCATCTGGCAACCACACGAGACACACGAGGTAGAGCTGGGCCTCTGGCTGCTCGCCAGCCAGGGCGCCTACAGGGATAACAAGAGCTTGTAACCCACAGGGAAAGGTCAGGACGGCAAGAAAAGAATTATGGCCCACATTGGTACTTCAGCTGCAAATTCATACCTTTATAGTTTCAGTAAAGCTCTACCACAACATCCCATAATTAATTTTAAAACCACAGGCATTCGAAGTTCATCACAAATGACCAAGTTCACAAAACATCCAGACATAGCCCCCACTGAAAATCAATGGGAGTTAAGCCCCTAAATACTCTTACAGTTCTGACCAAATATTTTCATTTTTTCCCATTCAAAACTACAAGTTGTGCCCTCACTTTGAAACAAACCTCTCTTGCTCACAGCTTTTTTCAGTCCTATATTTCACTGTAACTTTTAGAGAGTATTACAACCTGCAGTGCCCCAGCCAGTAGCAGCTACCTCTGAAGTTTCAAAGACAGTACTCGTGTCCCTGGAGCTTGTACCGCTCACTTCTACAACTGCTCTTCAGCCTACTCAGGTGCTCCCAGCTCCATTTACAGGCTGTTGGGACAAACTCCCCTAATACTCTTGTCATAAGACAAGACAAGATTACAGGTCCTGAATGAGTCAGTCCTAAAGTCAGTATTAAGGAAATTTCATGCAGACAGTTTTGCTTACGGACTTTCTTGCAATGCCTAGGACCAATCTGAGTTTCTAAAAAGTGAGTTTTTAATTATGAGCAGAGAAACAATAGCTCACTTCAACATGAAAAAGAATACATCCACTATTTTTCCATGCTCTGTAATTTGAAAATAGGTCAACTCATTAGCTTTAAAGCTATTAAAAATACTAAAACTGAATTATACGGCTCAATTTCCTTTTCATTTTTTAAGCCAGACCCAGAGATTGCAAAGTTTCAGACCAATGGCTACTTTAAGATGATAAAAGGGATAAAGTTTTGGAACTATGAATCTAATATTGCCAGAACAGATTGATTTCATAGTAAATTTTTAAAGAGAAAGTAAATTTTTTAACATTGACTAAATTTGAGCCATTTAAATAAGACCAAAGCATTAACTGCACGCCAGTTCAGAAGTGCTACAGGGCCTGTAATTTGTCACACTGTACATACAGATCTAGCTGACTTTTCTCCCTTTTTCCCACAGTTTGCATGTTCAGAATGCAAACAGGGCCCAAAGTACACCTGAACAGCATGCCTGGCAATTTGAGAGACTTCCTATATGTAATGTGAACCAGACAGAATCAATACATACTCAAAAAAATTGACTAGGAAAGGGCAATTTTTTACTCTGCACTTTAAAAACATAACCCTGGAGGCCAAAATTGCTCTATTGACATTTTGTAAATTGACAACAACAGAATTATGATTAGTGGGACATTGACTCCCAGTGCTTCCCAAGCAACTTCTGCATGACCTGGGGGAACACCTTGTATGCATTCAGTATGAAACAGAGGTCCAGCAGTTCATCAGCACCACAGTGCCCAACAGGCACTGTGCTTTTGGGAAATATTCCTACTCAGCAGTTTATGTGAATTTCAAGCAAATGAAGCCTCACAATTGCTAAAATCCAGACAAAGCCCACCAGACCTGGCCTGGCTCTGCTGCTGGTGCTCTGTCACTAACACAGACCCTGTGAACTCAGCTGGCAGAATGAGGTGAAAAGTGAAGCACCCCAAAGTTCAGGGGAATAAAACACTTCATTATGAGCCCACCCTAGCATCAATATGGGCTCCTCATGCCCATACTATGATGGTGATGCCATGCTGGTGATGGAGAACCTGATGTCAAATCTCTCCTCCTCACTGACTCACCCAACTGCTCAGAGCAGGGAGCGAGAGGCACTGGAGCTACCGCAGAGACTGTCGGTCACCCAAAGGCTGGTTAAACTAATCCCAGGATACAGATGGCTCACAGCAGGCCAGCACAGCACAGAACCACACCCTGCCAGTGATTTCCAGCGATCCAAACAGCCACTGCAGTCTAAGCCCATCTTGGGGTTTCCACCTGAGGTCCAGATCCTGCAAGAAACGCTACTGCAGGACCCAGGGCTGTGTTCTCTGCTTCTCAGGGTTCTCCATCCTTAGACTAAAGTTCAGGTTCCTGCTGCTCAAACAAAACTGGAGAAAAACTGTCGGTTTAAAATCCTGGTAGGTAAGTCAAACTCTACCAAAATCCTACTGCTCTGAGGTATCTCATACTTGCAGTCACTTCACCTAAAACTAATTTGGTTTTAAAACTGAAGTTAAGGAACTTGTTAGTAATCATTTTTCAAGTATTTATTTATTTTGTTGAGGAAGGAGGGAGGGAGGAGAGGAAAATCAAGCTATTTAGCTTTCCAAGTATTTAACATAAAACCCAAAAGAGCTCCATCTGGCAACCAGCAGGATTTCTAAATAATATAAATAGTATCTACATAAGAACCAGGCTGTCTATGGAGTGAGACAACTTTAACTTTTACAACCACAAGAAGCCTTTATTAACATAAAAGGAAATTATAAAAAATTAAGTTAGAACAGGAACAAGAGCCTGGCAAGCTGACAGAAGACCCCAGGAATCTCTGCATTACTCTTGAAATGCTGCTTTTGACTTTGTTGAAATATAGCATCATACACTGAGTGGTTTTAAAAAACAAAACAAAAACACCCCCTTAAGTTCAAAGGACTCTAGTACAATAAAACCAGTTCTAGGAAAATATTCAGATTAATAAAAATCAATATGAAATGCCTTGCTTTGCCACGCAAAACAACCCTTAACATTTTAACATAGCTTGGAAAACATTAATATTTAATTACAGATTTCATTGAGTCATGGATGAGGCCCTTCATGTCCATAGATGTCTGTCTTCATTAAGAAAATGTTCCAGAATACTGCTAATTATGTTAATTAAATGTAAGTCTGAACTATTTAATAAAAATTCTGATAATTCTAATTCCCAAGTAAATAAACATCTCTCAGAGTACACAGTATTTAATTTTCTGAGTTAGTTATATGAAGGATCTGGCCTTGCACTTCATACCTAGCCCTTCTACTTTTTGGCCCAGTTGTAAGTGATCCAAACTTGGTGGTGGTTTGGTGTCCTGTGGGAAACACTTCAATGGTTCTCAATGCCCCTGTCAAATTGCCACTGGGATTTTCTGTCATTTTCTTGGCGAAAAATCAAAGAGTGAAACAGTGGGCCCAAAAAAACATGTTATGGTAATCCTGTGAGGCTAGGGCAGCCTTGAAGCTCTGCATTTTCCGCTATCCCTGGGCTACAGGAAGAGAATTTCTATCTTTATCATTGCCCATCTGGCACCTTTCACAGGCAGCAAGAACAAAGAAGTAAAATGTACTGGCCCCTACCATCTGCTTCTGCTTGTAAAGTCTGGAAAGAGCCTGATAGGGAAGAAAGCAAAAAAAAAAAAAAGATAAAACCCAACCCCTTTGTTTCCCACCAAACTGTTCTGGCAGGTACACATTGTGCCTGTACTTCTTACACATCTTAGGGCCACCCTAGAGACTCCTGGTTCCCCACAGCAGCACAGCTGCTCAGCTCAGAGCATCCCAAACACTCCCAGCCCCACGTCCTCATTCACAGCCTTCCAGCAGCCCGGGAAGAAAGGTCGCGTTGTTTGAGATTTGCTTTATTGGATCAGCCTCTGTTTTATCTAGAATAGGAAAATTCCTGTGGGTTTAATAAGAGGTATTACCCTACAGATTTTCTCTGGTCCCACCTCCTTTCCCATCAGCCACATCCCCTCTCTTGCTGCAAGGCTGCATACACCATGTGTTGGCTCGACCCCTTCTGCCTCTGACAGAAGTTTGGCCAAAAAGAGCAGATTTTCTGCTACTTTGATCATTTCCTGTGGTAAAAAGTAAAGGGAATTATCTGACCCACGGTCTTTTTTTTCTTAGTTTTGAAAAATAACATGGCTTTACATTTGCAAGTTCCCTTAAATAGTGCACTTGCTTTTCAATAGCATTTTGCTGCTAGTTTACTGGTTGTCTTACAGAACTTACTTTTTTTAGAATCAGAAAACACACTGCTGTGACCTCAATCTCAGAGATTCAGCTGCTGTATTACATCAACTATGAACTTCCCTGTGCTGAAGCAGCAACCAAAAGATAGTATCAAATCTACAGACAATACAAAGGTGACAACTTCTTCCCTATTAAAAAGTTATTGCATTTAAGAAGTAAGTTTAATTCTCTTTTGGTGGGGATAGTGTTGCTTTTGGCTACAAATGTGCATTGCATAATGTCTTTAGAAATAAGTTAACCCTTTTATTAAATGCACTACTAATCTATTAGATATGTGATATAAGCACCACAAAACCTTTTCTTTTGTCAAAAATCATCAAGATTCCAGATCAGAAAAACGTGTCTGTTGCTTGTCTAAGCCCATGGTGAAATAGTGTCACTACTGCTGACCTAAATGGTGCGTATGCATTTGGGCAACAAGGGCCTGAAATATGATGCCAAGTGGTAATCAGTGACCTCGATGGGGCCTGTGAGTGCACCCTGAAAACTTGTTCACTTTGTATTTTTTTGTCCCAGAGAGTACAAAGTAAACAAACATGAATATACCTACTGAAATGTCTTGTATCAGAATTAATATTCTATAGGAATAAATTCCAAATAAATTAGCACAATATACATTCTTTATAAATGTGGCACTATGGCATTTAAAATAGATGTATGTTCATATTTAATAGTGGAACCCCACTCTTTCAGCTCAGAAAATGCTACAATATGCATATGTATATATAGACATTTTCCTGTTAATCATTTAGTCAGAGTGCATAAAAAGTTGTGCTTGTTTGTATCAAACGCCTTTTTTTTGACCTTTGTTGTGCTAATTACATGAATAGCACAGATTCTGACAGATACTCTCTTGAGCTGAGGCCAGGGAGCAGCTCATGGCTCCCTTTGTGTGAGTTCTACTCTTGAAAGAAATGACTGAACATTTTGAACTGTTAAAATTACTATTGTTTTAAAATGTCACAGTAAGTTACTTTGGTGAATTTACTACTTGTATGTACATATATATATATTTAAGGAGCCTGTTAACTAAAATCATGGCCTGGCTACATTTCACATTTTATTTTATAAAACCAAACCCTTCCAAAACTCACACAGCTCAAAAGCAAAGGGAGATTCGTTTTCCCTCAGTGTTAAAGGACAAAGAAGATACGTACTTATTTATATATTTATGCATGTACCTCACTTGAAAATATAATAAGAAAGGGGGAAAGAATCTGCAATATCCTTGTTAAAACAAAAATTGCACTAAACCACTTAAAACAAGATCTTACCACAACAAAGATCGGCACTATCATCGTTAATAATATATTGCCTTTCATATGCAGAGGTAATAAGGAGGCTGTACTGTGATCCATATAACCTCAATAATGTATAAATGAATCAAAAAGAACCTAATTAGTTCAGCAGCACCAAAAATTATTAAGTAGAAACATCAAAAGAGCCAGTGGGACACCACTTTCTTCTATCAGACGCTGCAGAGCTGCCCTTCAGAATCCTCTGGTTTATGTCTGCAAGGAGGAGGCCTCACCAATGTAGGTCACGGTAACTTAAAAGACCTGGAGCTAAAGGATGCCATGTGCCCTCTCTGCACAGCACTGCCCTGCAGCTCCTCAGCATCATCCCTGCACGTCCCACACGAAGTTCTGCACCATCCAGGATCTATGCAAAGGAAGGGTGGAGCTGGTTCCTCACCTCCTGTGTGCAGCCGCAGAAGATAGTACATCCTGAAAGCATTACGTGTGCTACAGTCCCTTTTTCCTCCTTCCCCACAGAGCCACTGCGGAAAAGGAGGAAGGGTCGGTTGGGAGGGAGTCTCGGCTTCCACGGAAACACACTACGAGGCAAGGAGATACAAGGGACAGACAACTCCAAACACCCAGAGACACAGGACCTCCCCATAGATGGCCTTGACCTCCTATGAATCCCTCTGGAGTCCTACAGCTGTTCCTGCCACACAGATGGGAAAACGTTTGTGTGTGCACACGTGAAAGCCTCTGAGGAAATACCTGCGGAGGCATCGAAGTCAAAGTTAGAACATCGTGTGCACGAATTTATTCATGAAAAAACAGTAAGAGTACTTTATACTTGTATACTACACCACATAGATGTGGACATCCACGCCTCTGCAGCACATACTGCTGGGTTCACAGGGCATTATTTGTTTCACTCCATTTAAGTAAAGCATCATGTGCAGGAGAAAAAATAATGCTATAAATGGAAGACCTTTCACTACTCCAGGGCTGTCCCATACCCAAAACCCAAAGGTTACCTTCTTCAAAGGAATAAATAGGACAGTACTTTTAACTTAAGTTTTAAGCCGTGGTAGCAACATTTTAAGGTGTGTTCTCCAAGAGCTTTCAACATTGCTCAATTTGCAGATCCATTAAAAAAAACCACAATTAGGCAATGCAGCAGGGCAGTCAAACAAAACCTCCTTGCAGAAGACTTGCTCTTCTATTTACCTTTAACACAACATATAGAAGGCAACAGATCCCACGGGTCCATAAAGACTAGGCTGAAAAAATTCACCACTGCAACTACTGGAACTACAGCAGTATGCTATGGTCCACTAAGGTGGACTCACTAAGGTCTGCCCTCAGTTCCCAAGGAATTCAAGTGGAGGTGGACTGGGCCTCAAAAGCTGGCTATCTTTTCCTGTAATCTATAACATCAACCTCAAACTGCTTTGACAGAAATCTCTACTGAGGAGTTCCAATAAAAACCTCTGAAAAATACAGAGCCCACTCCGGCAAACGTTCACAATCCCGAGCAGACACATAGAACACGCAGGGCCATCCAGCAGGGTGAAGTCTTTCAGGAAGTAATATGGAAAGTCACAGATTTAACACACAGATGGTCCACAACATCAGCAAGAATTAAAACACAAAACTCAAAAGATAACACCGAATGCTGATAAAGACAAACAAAGCCAGGCTGTGCCCTGCTGCAGACACCACCAGCGCTCTGCAGAGCAATCCCAGTGCAGAGCCATCCCAATGCCAAGCAATCCAAGTGTACACAGCACTGCCCAGCTGTCCACAGATACAACTGGAGTAGCTCTGTCAGAGGCTCCTGAGGAGGAGGGGTAGTACTGGGGGAGGGACAGTATTTATAAAAATAAAAGAACTGAATTGAAGCCTGTATGCTGCTGTCTAGAACTCCAGTTACGTTTGTACCACCCATTCCCTGGGGGAAATGACATACAATGCAAACAGGCCTAGTTGTTCAATTATTCAAGTATTAAGAGATTCACAGAAAGGCATCTGAGAAACATAACATTTTAATAGATGAAATAAATACTCCAGTACATGCAAGATAAAAACTGACATTGGAAAAAAATTAAAAATCACTTTTGTTATAGTGTAATTTTGTTTGTTTGTTTAAACACTCACAGTAGCTTTTCCCCCAGTTTGGAAATCAACACATGGAAAACATAATCACAACCTCCAGTCCTTCCACTCCTACACACCAAATGCACTTCTAACCTAACACTTGATGCAAAATAAAAAAAGTCATACAAAACAAAAACAAACAAAATAGTAGCTACATCCATCATCTATGTGTTGTTGGGTTTTTTCATTTTTTTAAATGAGTGAGAACTGAGGTAACCTTTTTCCTGCACAACCAAACAGCAAAATTTAGAAGGGAAATTCGGAAGACAAGACAAGACAAACTTTAAAAACCGCACCCAGCGCGATTAAAGCTCTTTTTTTTCTCCTTTTTTTTAAGATACCCCCACCTCCCCAAATATAAAAACTTTGAAACAGTTATTACCATTTATGTGAAGACCTTGTTGAATAAAGAAAAATTTATCTGCAGATACTTGCTTAACTTTAAAGTAAAAAGAAGCCAAAACTGGCTACCTTTATTAGTACATATAGTTCGAATATGTTCTGCTTCTTCACCACACAAAATCAAAGGATTGGGCTCATCCAAGCAAATTCTTTGGTATACAAAAAAAGGGTGAGGAGGTGGGATATTATTTTCCTTTAGCAATGACTGGGATCTAAACAGAAGATGTGGGGGTTAATTCACAGAATTGGAGTTCACTGGCGGTAAAGTCCTGGGTGAAGATCTTTCTCTTAGTGCCTGAGATAGCAGGTTGCAACCATCGGAGACGGCGCAAGCTGAGTTCCTCAACCTTTCCCTGTAATCGCTCATTTTGGTGCTACTTTCGGGGTGTTGGGCTATATCCCTGAGGCATTGGGTCAGGAGCACACAAGCAGATACCACACTCATGGCTCCTCCTAGGATGGCAGTTTGCACAGCTTTGCCCTCTGGATTAATGGTGGCAGCTTTACCCAAAAACTGGGGCTCAGTGGCAAAGCCCACCAGAGCATAGACAGACTGCACCAAAGGTCCACTGAACAAGACGCACCGGTTCCTGGTCAGCTCGCTGGGCGAGGTCTTGACCTCCTTGACACACGCCAAGAGGGCAGAGGCGCTCGTGCTCATACATTTGACACTGAGTTTGAACTGCTCCTTAGCAAATTTATCCTTGGATTTCTCACTGGCCAGCACACAGGCATCTGTCAGGAATTTCAAGTTCTTGGACATGTTCTGAGAAACCTCCAGCAGGAGCTGAGGGCTCATATCTGCCAAAGGGGTGGTCTTCAAGACCCCGCAGCCGTGCTCCACCTCATGCCTACATCGGGTCACCTTGTAGCGATCCACCAAGCCAGGCATAGCAGGCTGGGCCCCCGGAGTCTCCACTGCAGCCAGGTAGGCAGCGTGGGCAGAGCATTCGGTCAGGGACACCACCAGCTCCCCCATCTCCATCAGGCTTTCCCCCACCTCCCCGAAGCGTCCCATGTTGAGCTGGCTCTGGACGTCATGGGTCAGGATGGAGAGTCCTTTGGTCCTGGCAATGATCGTGTCCCTGCACTTCTCAAAGGACTCACCGAAGACAGACAGACTCTCGGTGTTCACCGGCCTGGTCTCGCTCGACAGCAGAAGCAGATCGGCCACCAGTTGCATCTTGATCTTGCAGTGGTCGCAGATAGAGATGAGCTTCTTCCTCTGCAGGGAGCTGCTGCTGGGGATGCCGCCGCCGGAGACCTCGCTGCTGGACTTGCCGGAGCCACCGCTAGCCATAGCGCCGGGGGGGCACTCGCATGCCGCTCGCTACCCCGCTGCCGCCGCCTCCGCCGCCCGCGCAGTCCCGACTGAGCCCGGCAGGATCGCTCTGCCTTTTCCGCAACATCATTCCATTAATCGTCGGGAGGCAAGAAAAGGCTCTGGGCGCCGGGGCTGCCGCTGCTGCGGGGAGCGAGCTCGGCCGGGGCGCCCGCCCCGCTCCAGCCTCCGCTCCTACGGCGCTCCCGCGGCGGGGCGGCGCTCGCCGGGCGCCCCCGGGCCCCGGTCCGGCATCCTTTAGTTACAAATATCTATTTCTTCCTTTCCTTTTCGCACGCTGGCTCGCCTTCCCTTCCCAGCACCCCGTCCGTGCTAGCCGGCCGCGGGGATCCTGCGCGAAGTTCCCTCCAGCAGCCGGAATCCCTCAGGGACGCGCCGCCGCCGAGCGGAGTTGGGGCAGGGGCGCAGCCCTCCAAGTTGCTACCGCGGCCCCGGCGCCTCCGGTCGGGGAGCGCCCGCCGGGCGCAGCTCGCAGGGGCCGGAGGGGCGGCGGCTGCGCACCATGTGCCGCCCCCGGCGCCCGCCGCGGCCCCGGCTCGCAGGAAGCGCCGCGGAGGGTGTGGCCCGCCCGCCCCGCACGGCCCCGCCGCGCACCCGCGGGGAGCCGGGCCGGGAGGGGAGAGGGGCACGGCGGGGAGCCGGGACACGGGGGACGGCGGGGGGGGGGGGGAAGGGAAAAAAACAGAAGAGAGGAGGGTAAAAAAAAAAAAAAATAAAAAGCTCCACCGGATCCGGGTGCTGGGGCGGGCGGGCGGATCCGTTCCCCTTCCTTTGCCGCTGCCTCACTCCTTCCTGCCGCGATCATTCACGCGGCCGCTGCGCGCTCGGTCCCCGCCGCCGCGGTCCATCCCCTGCGCCCCCGGGCCCTCCTCGCCGGCTCCCGCCGTGGCCGCCGCCGCACCAACTTAGGCTCTTCCCGCAAACAAGGGTGGTGGCCGCGGGCTGCAGCCGCGGATGCTGCGACCCGCCCGGCCTGACGCTCCTCCTGCCATCTTCCCTGGCTGAGCCGCCAACTCCCAGGGAAAAAAAAAAAAATAATAAAAATAAAAAGATAAAAAGAAGAAGGGGAGGAAATCTTCGTTTAAATTCCCTTTCTCAGGCTTTCAGACAAACTACTGGGAAGCGGCGGCTGCGACGCCGCTGCCAGCCAGACGCTGCACGGCTCTGGGGGAGCTCCCCCGCCCCGCTGCCTTTGCTGTAACCTCACTTGAGCCTATCGAAATCTTTTGTGCGGTGTCACCGCCCTTCGTTTAAATCCTGCCCTCCCCCCGCCGCCGCTCCGCGCCCGCCGCCGCTCGCTCCTCCCAGGCGGAGGGGGCAGCAGCGCCGGCACCGCCCGCCCGCCCGCCGCGGGCGCTGCCCCGGCCCCGCCGAGCGGGGGATTGCGGGGGCTCGCTGAGCACATAAACAACCGGGGGTGCTGGAGGGAGAGGCCGGTGGGAGAAATGCGAGAGGCAGCCGGAGAGCGCCTGCCGGGTGGGCGGCGGCGCGTCCTGCGCTCGGATGTCGGACACGGAGGAGATGCCGCGGGGGAACGGAGGAGCCGCCCCCGCTCCAGCCGCCGGGGCTGAGACGCCCCGGGTGCCGCTCCCTGCCCGGCCCCTGCCCCGGGCAGCCCGCCAGGTAAGTGCGGCGTTCCGGTCGGAGCTCCCGTCCCTGTCCCCGGCGCGCCGGGGAGCGCCCGTGTCGGGATGTCCCGGCCCAGGTAGAAGCAGCCGCTGCGTGTGTCAACCTGGGCGGGTCAGAGCCCGTATCACCGCGGGCCCGCCGCACCGCACCCCGCGGGGCTCCGGCTGCCCCAGGTGCCCAGCTGGCTGTCGTGGGTGCTGTACACACGGGATGGGGTATTGCTGCATCTTTATTTACACAGAAATAGTGCCCTCAGCACTGGCCTTGACCCAGTTTTTAAACCAATGAAGATGAATTTGGTGCGTTCCTCTCGTGTCTCTGTCATCGTTTTCGAACACTGGTTACTGTTTGTTAGACTTTAGCAGAGAAAATGTAAACCTACTGACACTGCTGTGTACAGAAAGACTTTCTCTGGCCTGTTTCCATTCTGCAGCACATCAAGAACTTTATTAGATGGTTCTTGTCAAAGATGTTAACACACAGTAAATCTGAGGCATTCATGTAAATGCCAATAAACAGTAATAAAATTAAAATTACTAATTGGGCTGGAACAAGTTACAAGAAGATGGGTTTAATGCTGCCTGGGATGCTTCCAAAGGGAATGTATAGTTTGGTAAATGATGATGATGAGAACATTTATGTCCCACGCATCAGATTCTGTCCTGTTATGCAGTAAGTATCTCCATCAACATAATCCTGAACCCCATCAAATCAACACCAAATTAAAGTCCACATTGAAGTCACATCTTACGTTTGCTACGTGTTTAGCTGCAGCTTAAGCTGCAGCTAAATAATAATATTATTTTTCTCCTTTTCAATCAGAATTCCCTTTTTAAGTCAGGCTTCTAATTCTAGGCATTTAGAATGCATTTAGCAGCCTACAGAAATCCAGAAATACATTTGCCCCGATTCACAGTTAACATCCTACTACAGTCATACTACTGCAAGGGTATAAGTGACCTTGAAATAAGTGGAAATTGGACCAAACTCCCTGCTTGCAGTTGCAGGCCAGATCCAGCGATATTGTGGCGCAAACCCAGCCCACCTAATGGATTCCATACATTTATACATTTAAAGAGCTTCAGATAATTTTATTTGTGTATATTTTCAGTCATTAGCTAGGGGAACCTTTGGCTGCCTACTCGTAGAGTGGGCCGTGAGCAGGATGAACACAGATGTCAAAGTGGAGGGTTAACAGGATATACACATTTGGGGGGTGAGGGAAACCCTTGCCATAGAGCCAGGCTTGAGGAAAGGGGCAGATACTGGTCTGTGGGTGTGTCGAAAATAGGGCAGTTCTCCACCCATCCCTCCTCACAAAAACAGTGTGAGGGAAATTTTGTTTACTTGAGTCAGATTATAGCAGTTGAAAGGAAGGTCATGATTTGGGCCTAAACAATTTTGGCTTACTGCCAGTAACTTGTTTTCAAAAGTATAAATAGGAATGATTTCAGAATACTCTGAAAAATAAAAATCAATGGGCAGAAGAATCCAGCTAAACTATTTCAAAAAGATTCCAGATATGTCCTTAAGTGAGGTGAGATAGTATACAGCACAAGGAATGCTTCTCATAAATATTAACCTAGTTTATCTTTAATGAGGATTGACTACATTTAATTAGGGTTGGAAAGACTTCATTTTAGAGAACGTAGGTCTCACCCCTGGCTAGAAGAGGTGTTACATGACCTAATAATCTTTTCCATTTTTAGATGCTGCTGCCTGCCGTGATGATATGTGTGATTTGTGCCATTCCCCAAGGACAAAGCAGAGAGATCCTTGGTTTGGACAGGTCCTGCTTGGCTCCTCCACCAGCCTTCTTCCACAGGAACACAGCTGGGCCTTAGCCATGGCCATTCCTATCAGCTGACAGGGCCACCAGAGCTCTTAGTAACTGCTATAATATGAAGCAAATATTCTTCGAGCTCCTTTAATCCATCCACAAGACTGATCCAGTGCTTATCAGCCTCAGTATTAGGAAGGGGGAAAACAGGTAATTATTGTCCTGTGTTGCATGTGGACAGCCTCCAAGGCACTCTTGCCAAATGCCATTCTCCTCCCATAGTAGCTCTGGGTGTTCAGCTCTCCTACATGAGTAACCTGACCTTTGCTGTTTGAAAAAAATAATGTAGAAAATACCACCTTATTTGGTCATTTTTACCATGGAAGTGGCGTTTCCTGGAGCAGCTGCCTGTTAGATCCTTCCTACAGACTGCAGCCTGGCTGGGTATAAAATCACTCATGGTCTGGGTTTACCATGAACACAAAGTCTTATTCCAAAAGGCAGTCTTGGAGGCAGATTCTCTTGGGCTGGTAATCTGAGCAGCATTGAGGATCAGCTAGTTACATGCTTTAAAGTGCCAGTAGATGTATCTGTGTGATTTAGGAGGAAACTTTTACTCAGTCATGTTTGGGGTGGGTATTTTCTTCATAAGTGTTCTGCACATCTCTTTCAAGGAGAATGTGTGCATACCCATTTATTTCATGGCTACTGGGTGCAAAGGCGATCCACAGGACTTGGGCAGCTCACTAAATTGGTAGAAAGACCTGGAAGACATGAAAATCAGGTGGCCATGCTTGGCTTTAAAAAGATTTCAGTGACAGAGTCTAAATGAAATAACTCTCTGGGGTTCAAACCAGCAGGCATTTTCAGATACAAGGGATTAAAAGGCTTTTTAATGTGGCTTAGTAGTGTACAGAAGATTGGCTTACTTGTATGAGCTCTTCTTTTGTCACATTGATCTTTATTTTGCATTGTGCTTAGTACAACAGAAACTGGAGGCTGAAGTCTTCTTTCCTGAATCATCTGACATGACTTGACCCTTTTATTGCTTAGTAAAATATTTTTTTGTGAAGGAAGAATTGATTTTTTCCAGTGTAGCCACTGTTGAGTAATAGCTGAAGAATACCAGGTTGTAATAATTTTATGAACACTGTATGTGGCCAAGTTGGTGAGAGGAAGTTACTATACAGTGGGTTATGCTACTTTATATTACTTTCCTCTATGGATGTATTGATCTAACTTAATAGGGAGCTAGCTGATGAAGGAATAAAAGGCAATTCAGTGGTTCCCCTGTGTCAGCTATATGTGACTAAACCCATGAGGTGGTAATTACAGGAATGATAGCTCCAGTTCTGAGGGATGCAGCTGGTTTGTCTGGCTGCGCTAAAAATCAAAGGAGGATAGTCGGCAGAGACAGATGGAAGAAATAATTTAACACAGAGTCAGACTTTGCAGAAGAGGCTGGAAGAAGCTGGGCCTTCCTTTCTGCAGCAATGGAAAGGTAAGTCATACAGAAGGAAAGGCAAGTGTGTTAACTGGATTATTGTTCGTAGGATCTATTTTGTCTTAAATGTTTTGGTGCTAAGTAAGTGTTTTGTGGTCAGTACTTAGAGCCAGTACTTCATGAGAGACTAAAACTGTGAGGTTTGGGTCTGTCTCAAGTCTGCAGAGGTAGCCATGGTTGATACACTGGGGATGCAACCCAAGAACTTGGTCTGTGTGTAGCAAAAAAAGCTGGAGATCTGGAGGAACATTTAACTGGGCACTTGGAACAGCAAAGTGCAAACAGCCACAAGTTTTGTTTCTTCTTCTGTTGTCTATAAATAAATGGCTTTTAGAAAAATGGGTGGGCTTTTGCATGCAGGTTTAACCTTGGTGTTGTGATGTGGCACTTTGTGTTTGTTTTTTTTAATATGACATAGTCAAAAACACAGTATCAAAGGTAAGAACAAGTTCATTACATAGACACCAGTAATGTAAATATCCCAGTTGTGTAGAATACTGGTTGGCTCCTGCTTCTCAGCTGAAAGATAATACAGCGAAAGAGGTTTTTGTTTTGTTGTCCTTTTCTTCACCATTTATTGCTCTGTTGTTTTCACCACTTGCCGTATATAATCGATTGGTTGTCCCCTGCTGTTACCATGGATATTTAATACATTG